TACGAGAATGTAGCATCTCTCGTACGATTATTGGATGGCGCTATATATATACATATAGACTCGATTTTATTAATTTAATGCTTGTATTGGACCTATCCGCACAACTAGGATTTTCACAGTTGTTTTCGTATAAAAACAAATGAAAGAACGTTTATAGCAAATTGATGTGTAGTATTTATTTTAGGATAAATTTATGTAGATTTCATCTTCAAAAAATAATCATCGGTTAAGAAAATCGAATAAAAGGAGCGATCTAATAAAATTTACATTACCATCATTTTTCAACATTTTCGATATCATCAACAGATCATGAAATAAAAAAAATCCTCTCGTATGCAAACGAAAGTTATCTGAATATTCTATTATCCAAACGTTCTACTATGCGAACAGAATGTTTTTCAGTTATAAATACCTCCTTCTGTCACAAATATGTAGTAAGAATAAAGTGTTACAATTGAAACTGTCCTCTGCTTGACCGAACGAATTCTCATCATAAAAATGTAATATAAAGATAACAATGTCCGGCGTGACTATGATAAGTAAGCAAAAATTAATGAAGTTTTACATCAAAAACGTGATTGTACTGTTATACGAAAATTTCACATTTCTAATACTTCCGCTATCCTATTGATTCGAATATAGGAGATTCTACTGTAGAAATTATGACGATAACTAAGCTAAAAAAAACTACAAATAAATTTTAAGTTAATGAATTTGAAATGAAAGGAATTTTTTTTGAATGTGCGTGTATTTATCTTCAAAACTGAATTACTTTTGTAATATTAGAAGTACTTATATTGTAGTTATAGAAATATAAAATGTTTGGTTTGAACACGCTTAGTCAATAAAAAATTTTGAAAGATTTTGTACTCACGAAAAAGTGACTTTGTAATGAAATAACTTTACTAGAAAAGAAAGTATTGTAAGTAAAAATATAGTTAAGTTTATTGTTTTTGCACGCATCTAACATATATGCGAATGTAAAAATTTATTAATACTTTCTATAAATATGTAAAGGTCTTATCTCAATAATAACATTCGGTTTATAATGTACCTGAATAGTATATATAGTAATAGAGTATTTGTCACAATTGTCAATATTCTTTATCCGAGAGAAATTTGTGTTTATTTCTACAAGAAACATTAATTAGAAACGATGAATTTAAAATACTTATTATTTTTTTGTTTAGTACAAACGCTACATTATTGCTACGCGTATGGTAAATTGTCTGATATTTTATAAAATTAATTGAGATTATATTTAACTTTTTAAATTTACTTAAAAAATGTATATATATATTTTTTTTTAATAGTAAATAGATTACTTTAATATCGTCTAAATTCATAATGTTCGTAGGTGATCCGTCGTCATCAAATGAATTAGATAGATTCAACCCATGTCCTTACAGTGATGATACTGTTAAGATGATTGTTTTAACAAGGTAGTCGATCAATGGATTATTTATTATTTTTATTCTGTATGTATAAAAGTGTAACTTCTTTCTGCTTTTTTTTAGTTTTTATTTTTCTTGTTCCTTAAGTGTCATTATTATTGCTCAGATACAATAGAATATATTGTATTCAAATATCACTTAAAATCTATATATTTTTAGGGAAAATAAGAAACATGATTTTTATACACTCGATACAATAAAGAAACATAATGAATTCAAGAAATCAACCATAAAACATCAAGTTGCATTCATTACGCATGGTTTTACTTCATCCCCAACCGCAGAAAATTTCCTAGCTATGGCAGAAGCTTTGTTAAATAAAGTAAGATTTCATAATGTGAAAGTACAATTATTAAAATATTTACTAGAAGAGACAAAGTATTCAAGATTAATAAATTAATAATAATTTGAAGGGTAATTATCTCGTAATCTTGATCGATTGGCGGGTGGCTGCTTGTACTAATGAAATTGCAGGTGTGAAACTTGCATATTACAATTATGCCGCCAGTAATACACGCTTGGTTGGAAATTATATCGCTACGTAAGTCACAGGAAACATATTGAAAAACTTTATTGTTTAATTGTACATTATATATATATATATATATTTCTTTTATTTGTTTCTTTCTATAGGGTTACCAAGATGCTTATACAACAATATCATGTACCGATGGCAAATATACGATTGATCGGACACAGTTTGGGCGCACATACTTCAGGTTTTGCAGGCAAAAAAGTTCAAGAGTTAGGATTAGGAAAATATTCTGAAATTATTGGACTTGATCCTGCTGGGCCTTCGTTCAAGTCAGAGGCATGTTCTCAGAGAATCTGCGAGACAGACGCAAATTATGTTCAAATTATACATACATCAAATCATTTAGGAACACTGATAACCCTTGGAACTGTCGATTTCTACATGAATAACGGAAAAAATCAACCCGGTTGCGGTCTTCGTATGTATATATTAAATTAGAGGCTTTTTAGATGCAGATTAGAATTTAAACAAAAATATTCAGTCAATTATGTTACCCGTTTTGCTATATGATTATAGAGTTTTATAAATAATTGTTTAATAATCGTTACTTTTGCAGCTATTGTTGGAGAAACTTGCTCTCATACGAGAGCCGTGAAATACTTTACCGAGTGCATAAAACATGAATGTTGTTTAATTGGAGTCCCACAGTCAAAGTATTTTATATTCTTTAATATTCTGCTTTTTTTTATGTTTGATTTGTTAAGGAATGAACGTAAAATTAACACTATGCAGTTAATTTTTTAATAAAAATATACGATTGACCGACGGAATAAATACGTATATTATTATTATTATTATTATTTTATGTAATAATATATTAAAAATTCATTTGATTTTTAGGAATCCGCAGCCTGTTTCGAAGTGCACAAGAAACGAGTGCGTTTGCGTTGGATTAAACGCAAAGACATATCCTAAAACTGGCTCATTTTATGTACCGGTTGAAAGTAAAGCTCCTTATTGCAATAACAAAGGAAAGAAAATTTAATTATATAAAAAAAATTACTATTAATCCAAATGCATTTGTTAACGATGAGATGAATAAATTAAGATTCAAAAAATAATTATATATGCGAAATGTCAATTCTTATATTCGCAAAATATCTAATAGTTGTCTCTTAACAGATTTATAAAATAAAAAGAGTTATATAAACATATATCCTATTTGATTTTGTTTTTGAGTTGTTTTTATTGATAGGTTTTGATTTTTAACAAACTCTTAATTTTCTAAGAGATGTTCGAAATGACTTCTTTCCATGTAAATATAATGTTGACAAACATCTTATCAATAAATATCTTATTTTTTTCATATGTTTGGATTTTGTTTGGATTTATTAGAAACTTTGTTGAATTCTTTTACGATGTGTTTTTATTTGGGCATATAGTAAATAATCAATTCCATATAATTCTATAAATATAAAACAAAAGAAAATTCAAGTAGGACGTACATTTTAATGAATCTTTCTTAGTTTACTTATATATATGAATATATATATATATAATAAATGCTTTAATAATAATATTACACTGTCATTTTCTGCACACATTCGGCATACATATTTACGAATACATATTTAAAGGTACACATTTTTATCAAAGAGAGATAGAAAGGTGTGGGACTTGGTATAAGTCTTCACTTATATATTTTAAAAATACATTTCTATTTTTTATAATCTTTATGTTTTAAGAAAATTTATTTTAATGTATACTTCTTTAAAGGACACATACACGAATATTCCATATATACATACATGTAGCAGTCCATTTATCATAAAATATATAGATACCAACGCTTTCATTAATATAAATACTTGACATTTACTAAATACATTGCAATACGGTTATTGCATATTTAAATGAGCGGTCATGGATAATGAATTATTACATAGTAGTTTGGATTCCATGAAACTTTTTACACTTTAAAATAAAGTAGGACGAATCTTTAGTATTATACGAGAATGTAGCATCTCTCGTACGATTATTGGATGGCGCTATATATATACATATAGACTCGATTTTATTAATTTAATGCTTGTATTGGACCTATCCGCACAACTAGGATTTTCACAGTTGTTTTCGTATAAAAACAAATGAAAGAACGTTTATAGCAAATTGATGTGTAGTATTTATTTTAGGATAAATTTATGTAGATTTCATCTTCAAAAAATAATCATCGGTTAAGAAAATCGAATAAAAGGAGCGATCTAATAAAATTTACATTACCATCATTTTTCAACATTTTCGATATCATCAACAGATCATGAAATAAAAAAAATCCTCTCGTATGCAAACGAAAGTTATCTGAATATTCTATTATCCAAACGTTCTACTATGCGAACAGAATGTTTTTCAGTTATAAATACCTCCTTCTGTCACAAATATGTAGTAAGAATAAAGTGTTACAATTGAAACTGTCCTCTGCTTGACCGAACGAATTCTCATCATAAAAATGTAATATAAAGATAACAATGTCCGGCGTGACTATGATAAGTAAGCAAAAATTAATGAAGTTTTACATCAAAAACGTGATTGTACTGTTATACGAAAATTTCACATTTCTAATACTTCCGCTATCCTATTGATTCGAATATAGGAGATTCTACTGTAGAAATTATGACGATAACTTAGCTAAAAAAAAACTACAAATAAATTTTAAGTTAATGAATTTGAAATGAAAGGAATTTTTTTTGAATGTGCGTGTATTTATCTTCAAAACTGAATTACTTTTGTAATATTAGAAGTACTTATATTGTAGTTATAGAAATATAAAATGTTTGGTTTGAACACGCTTAGTCAATAAAAAATTTTGAAAGATTTTGAACTCACGAGAAAATGACTTTGTAATGAAATAATTTTACGAGAAAAGAAAGTATTGCAAGTAAAAATATAGTTAAGTTTACTGTTTTTGCACGCATCTAACATATATGCGAATGTAAAAATTTATTAATACTTTCTATAAATATGTAAAGGTCTTATCTCAATAATAACATTCGGTTTATAATGTACCTGAATAGTATATATAGTAATAGAGTATTTGTCACAATTGTCAATATTCTTTATCCGAGAGAAATTTGTGTTTATTTCTACAAGAAACATTAATTAGAAACGATGAATTTAAAATACTTATTATTTTTTTGTTTAGTACAAACGCTACATTATTGCTACGCGTATGGTAAATTGTCTGATATTTTATAAAATTAATTGAGATTATATTTAACTTTTTAAATTTACTTAAAAAATGTATATATATATATTTTTTTAATAGTAAATAGATTACTTTAATATCGTCTAAATTCATAATGTTCGTAGGTGATCCGTCGTCATCAAATGAATTAGATAGATTCAACCCATGTCCTTACAGTGATGATACTGTTAAGATGATTGTTTTAACAAGGTAGTCGATCAATGGATTATTTATTATTTTTATTCTGTATGTATAAAAGTGTAACTTCTTTCTGCTTTTTTTTAGTTTTTATTTTTCTTGTTCCTTAAGTGTCATTATTATTGCTCAAATTCAATAGAATATATTGTATTCAAATATCACTTAACATCTATGTATTTTTAGGGAAAACCGAACTCATAATTTTTATACACTAGATACAATAAAGGAAGACAATGAATTTAAGAAATCAATCATAAAACGTCCAATTGTATTCCTTACACATGGTTTTATTTCATCTCCAATCGCAAAAAATTTCATGGCTATGTCAGAAGCTTTGTTAAATAAAGTATGATTTCCTGATCTAAAAATATGATCATTAAAACATTTACTAGGAGTATTTACTAGGAGTAAGATTAATAAATTAATTATAATTTTAAGGATGATTTTCTTTTAATCTTGCTCGATTGGCGTGTGGCTGCTTGTACTTATGAATTCTCAGGTATTAAGTATGCATATTATCCTATTGCCGTCAAAAATATACGCTTAGTTGGAAATTATATAGCTACGTAAGTCACAGGAAACATATTGAAAAACTTTATTGTTTAATTATACATTATATATATATATATATATATATATATTTCTTTTATTTGTTTCTTTCTATAGGGTTACCAAGATGCTTGTACAAAAATATAATGTGCCAATGGCAAATATACGATTGATTGGACATAGTTTGGGCGCACATACTTCAGGTTTTGCAGGCAAAAAAGTTCAAGAGTTAGGATTAGGAAAATATTCTGAAATTATTGGGCTTGATCCTGCTGGGCCTTTCTTCCAGTTAAATGATTGTTCTCAGAGAATCTGTGAGACAGACGCAAATTATGTTCAAATTATACATACATCAAGCTTTAAAGGAACATTGAGAACCCTTGGAATTGTCGATTTCTACATGAATAACGGATATAATCAACCTGGTTGTTCTCGTATGTATATATTAAATTATAGTCATTTTGGATGTAGATAAGAATTTAAAAAAAAAACAAAAATATTCAGTCAATTATATTATTCGCTTTGTCATATGATTATATGGTTTTATAAATAATTATTTAATAATCTTTACTTTTGCAGTTATTGATGGAGATTCTTGTTCTCATGCGAGAGCCGTGGAATACTTTACCGAGTGCATAAGACATGAATGTTGTTTAATTGGAGTCCCACAGTCAAAGTATTTTATATTCTTTAATATTCTGCTTTTTTTTATGTTTGATTTGTTAAGGAATGAACGGAAAATTATCACTATGCAGTTAATTTTTTAATAAAAAATATACGATTTACCGGCGGGATAAATATATTATTATTATTATTATTATTATTATTTGTAACTATATATTAAAAATACATTGGATTTTTAGGAATCCTCAACCTGTTTCGACGTGCACAAGAAATGAGTGTGTTTGCGTTGGATTAAATGCAAAGACATATCCTAAAACTGGCTCATTTTATGTACCGGTTGAAAGTAAAGCTCCCTATTGCAATAACAAAGGAAAGAAAATTTAATTATATAAAAAAAAAAATACTGTTAATCCAAATGCATTTGTTAATGGTAAAATGAATAAATTAAGATTTAAGAAATAATTGTATATATAGAATCTCTCTTCGTACAATTGTAAAATATTTAATGGATGATTCTTAGTCAATTTAAAAAATAAAAAAAAATTTTATAAATATATACCTTATTTGATTTTGTTTTTGAATTATAGCCGTTTTGATTTTCAACGAAGCCTATCTTAATTTCCTAAAAAATGTTCAAAGCTGTATTATTTACATTTACTGTTACACGAAAATTCCATATTTCGTTCTCTTCCACCTCCATTATTGATTCGGATACAGAAGATTCTACTGTAAAAATTATTACCTCAAGTCAGTCAGAAAAGAAATTATTAATCAATTTTGAAATGAAAGAAAATTTTTGTATTTATTTGTTGCATCTACGTATATTTGTCTTTGATTATATCGCTTATATATTTAAGCAATACATTTTATTTTATTTATATTTATTTGATATATACATACGAATATATGAAATTTCCTGTATATGAGCATCGTTCTATTTCCTTATACATCCTTGAAATATGTATATTTTATTTTCATAAATATTTTTACGATACGTTTAATAAATACACAGTGACGATAACATGTCTAATATACCCTTGAATGATACAGACAATAACAATTAGTTCTACGTTTATCGCATATTTGTTTATTTATTTTATCTTTGTTTGATTGAATAATTCTTCTTATATTAATAATTCTATTTATATTGAATAATTCTCTTTATATTGAATAATTCTCTTTATATTGAATAATTCTCTTTATATTAAGAATATTTACGTTATAATTACGCAAAAGACAAAGCTTTTGTTTTCAATATCCTTACAATATATTTCAAAACATTTTGTCTTCATTTGATTTTAGGAAGTAATTTCACAAGGAAATGAGTTTACAAGGAGAACATAAATTATTGGCGATAAACATTTGTATAGTTATTTTTTTTTTACATTTATACACGTACCTATCACATGTTCGTAAATACTAAATTATAATTTTTTTTACAAATGGACTAAGCTTTATCTTACTGATAATATTTATATTTATGCTTTTAAATAGTATAAATAGTAATAGAATAGTCATTTGGACTGTTAGTATTGTTAATCCAAAAAAGTTTCCGTTTTGTTTCTTCGGACAACTAAAGTTCTTACAAAATGAATTCAAAATACTTATTATTGTTCATATGTTTTATGCAAGTGTTACATTATTATTACGCGGATGGTAAACTTTCTTGCACTCTATAAACCCAGTTTGTCTTATTATAATTTAATATTACTTTAGAAGAATTAAATATATATATATGTCAAATTTAATAATTTTTATTTAAAAAAAATATAAAGTTACATTATGTTTCTAGGTAAATCATTGATACCAGATTCAATATCGTCATTGGTTCCATCAAACGGGAATATGATACCAGATTCAATATCGTCGTTGGTTCCATCAGAAAACAAAGTGATACCAGATTGTTTTTTCGGTGTTGAAACGATTGACTTTATTTTATTCACACGGTAATGATCAAATTATTTATTACTTTTATTTTATATGTATATACGTACTCGATGTTGATAATTATTTAAATAAAAAACGTAATGGTAATTTCTTTTTCTTTAGTTGATCGTTCAATATCCTTTTTTATTTTTTTCTTCTTCTTCTTTTACCGTCAGTATTAACGCGCGAAATAGAAATAAATATGAATACATTTTTTAAACAGGTATTACTCAGTTATCGAATAAAAATTATATATATTTTTTTAGAAAAAACCGCAATGGATCTCCTCTTACGTTACAAAATTTAACGGACAACAATGTATTTGACAAATCTCAACTATCATGTCCACTTATATTCCTTATACACGGTTTCCTTTCATCTGCAAATAATTCAAATTACGAGGATATGGCGAATGAAATGTTAAATAAAGTAAGATTTCATAATTATAGAAAGATGTATTGATTGTATTGATGAAGATGTATTGATGAGAAAGATATGATTGTTAATAACATTTACTACGAAAAAAAGAAGTATTCTGGATTAATAAATTAATTATCATTTTAAGGATAATATACTCATAATCTCAATTGATTGGAAAAAGGGTGCTTGTAGTAATGGAGTTTCACTTCTCCAGTACGCTGGTTATTACAAAGCTGTTGAAAATACACGTGCTGTTGGACAATATATCGCTAAGTAAGTAGAGAGAAACTTTATTGTTTAATTATGCATTATATATATATATATATATATATATATATATATATATATATATAAAATTTTACTTTTTTTTGTGTTTCCTTTTATAGTTTCACCAAGATACTTATAGAAAAATATAAAATGCCAATGTCAAATATACGATTGATTGGGCACAGTTTGGGAGCACAAGTAGCAGGTTTTGCGGGGAAAGAAGTTCAAAAGTTAAAATTAGGAAATTATACTTTAATTGTCGGGCTCGATCCTGCTGGGCCATTTTTCAATTTGAATAGTTGCTCTCAGAGAATCTGCGAGACAGATGCGGATTATGTAGAAATTATACATACATCGCTTCCATTAGGAACAGAGAGAACCCTTGGTACCACTGATTTCTATGTGAATAATGGAATTTATCAACCCAGTTGTAATATCGGTATGTATATAATTACATTATAGCCGCTATGAATGAATATATAAGATCAAATTTTGAAAGAATTTAAACGAAAATATTCTAAAAACATATGTGCACGTTTTTTAAGATTAATTCTTTTTTTTTCACAATTAAAATAGTACAAAAGTCAATTATATTAATCGCTTTGTTATAAGACTAAAGAATTTTACTAATAATTATTTAATTATTTCCGCTCTAGTGGATATATCCTGTTCTCATACGAAAGCCGTGATATACTTTACCGAGTGCATAAAACAAGAATGTTGTTTAATTGGAATACCGTGGGATGAGTATGTTGTATTTTTTAATATTCTGAATTTTTTTATGTTAGTACTCTTAAGAAATGCAATAAATTTCCAAATGAAAAAATATATTGAAAATATACGATTGATTGACACAATATATATATATCATTACTATTATTATTATGATTATGATTATGATTATTATTATTATTATTATTATTATTATTATTATTATTATATTATTATTATTATTATTACTATTTTATGTGACAATATATTAAAAAATCCTTTTATTTTTAGTCGTTCGCAGCCTATTTCGACCTGTACAAAGGATAAATGCGTTTGTATTGGATTAAATGTAACTAATTATCCTGCTAGAGGTAAATTTTATGTACCAGTTAAAAGTGATTATCCCTATTGCAATAACAATGGCACAGTACTTTAATTATAAAAGAAATATTACAATAAACTCAAAAACATGTATTACCAAAGAATATATAAATAAAGATTGATGAAATAATTATGTATATATATATATATATATAAAATAGTATTATTCTATTATTTTTTCTATGTATCTTGTATACATATTTCAAATTGGATATTTTTATAATTAAAAGATAAATAGATGTGGGACCTCGGGCATAGTCAAATGTATCACTTATATATTTAAGAAACGTATTTATATTCTGTATATTTTTCACATATATGCACTAGTTTATTTATTTTAAAATATGGATACACGCTATAATTATCATAAATATTTTTATGAAAAAATTTAATAATGACAACGAAAATATTAATAACAAAAAATAGTAATAACGAAGATAATAAAATGCAAATTTCGTTATTTCTGATTTTATCTACAAAATATAATTATAAAATAAAATTTATGTAAAAAATATAATTATATACTTAATTATAATTATTTTTATCTTTAATAGATATGAATATAATTGCATTGTGTGATATATAATTTTTACTTTAATTATTAAATCGAGAAAGAGTAATAAAATTATATTGACTTTATTTTTTCGATCTTGTCAAATGACTTTTCTTCGCGGTGGTTTCAAAAGGTATTAATTAAAATGTTATGTGTAGAAATTAGTTATATTATAATATATTACAGCTTTTTACATTGTAAGGTATGAATAAAATACTTGTATATATATATAAGTATATAGGTATATCTAGGTATATATATAATTAATTTAAGTTTTAAATTTCTATAAAAATATATAGAGAGTGACATAAATAATTATGTATTTTTACAATTTATAATAATATGAAGTAGTCATTGTACAAAGTATATTCTTTTAAATACTTCAGATATTAAAAGATAAATATGAAGATAGAGAGAGAGAGAGAGAGAGAGAGAAAGAGAGAGAGAGCAAGAGAAAGAGAGAAAGGGAGAGAGAGAGAGAGAGAGAGAGAGAAAGAAAAAATGAGGATATTATAAAATAAATAATAAATAGCTTTCAAAATTCAATATCGCTCATGTCACATACACACTGAACATTAACGTTAGCATATAATAAATATTATAGTTCTCAGATTTTATTTTTCTTGAGGTGTTTGAGCAATAGATAAAATGCTCGATAAAAGTTTGACATTAAAATCATTTCTGTCATGTCCTATGAAAAGAAATACATAATTAAAAATATTACATAGTTGTTATTTTTCAATTTTCACTAACTATATACTTAACAAAGTATGCATTATATATTTTTAACTGTAATAGTTGCACACAAGGCACAAAATGATGGTACACGAGTTGGTAAATAAAATACTGAAACTTGTACCATATTTTGTTCTTTTTCTTTTTTCTTCATTTTCTTTTTCCTCTTTTTGTTTTTGTTTTTTTTTGTTTACAAAATATGACGGTGTATGTATCTATCAAAGGCAAAGACTTATCGACTTTGTATTAGACTTTTGACTGTTAATATCTATATATATCGTCAAAGAAATTTCAGTCCTTGTTACATGTAAAATAAGGAATTGGCAGTAAACATCTTTGTTTATATAAATAAATTCATTCTACATTTATATAAAATTAATTGTACTTCCTAGTATAAAAGGAGGTGCATTAATAACGTTTAATGGGGATTTTCTTCTTCCATTTCATCGAATTTCCTTTTCCATATATATTCTATTATTTCCAAAATTGTTGGGCAGTGTTTATATGTATTTTAGTCGTTCTCACATACATGTGAACATTGTGCTTATAAAATGATATTTTTCTTTGTACGATAGGAACGAAAACATAACAGGATATATATTGAAAAGAAAGTTCGGCAAAGTAGCAGAGTGTAGGTATTTCTAAAAAGCATTATTAATGCACCTCGTTCTACATAAGAGACACACTCATTCAGACGTTATTCGTTGAATAAATCTAAGAAAATCCCCTTATACATATTCTTGGTCTTAATAGTTGTCATACAATGGATTTTTAATAAAGCAGCCGTTCATACAAATATGCTGTACATTAAGAATAAAAGCCTGCTGCTGATGTACTTTAAATGAGTTATACACATAAACATAAATGCTCCCATGAAAACATGTATATACAATGCATATGATTACTGCATATTACAATGAGCAGTCATGGATAATGAATTAACTAATTAAACTTAACGTAAGTTCGTTTTTATAATACTTTTTCCGCTTTAAGAATTAAGTAAGACAAATCTATTGTATTACTTAATTATAAGAAATAATAATAATCATAATAATCATAATAATAATAATAATAATAATAATAATAATAATAATAATTAAAAAAAAAAAAAAACGATATAGTAAAAAGTCTATCCTAGTCAGCCTTCTGTATGTTCCCGCTTTGTGTGGTATTTTAACAACATTTGCTTGTCTTCACGATATTTGTCATTAGTGTTTGTTCGGATTAGTGTCAGAATCCGGTTCAGAATTGGAACCGGAAGACTCCCCTGTATTAACGTTCGCATTGCAGCGCGAGCTCCTTCGGCTACTGGTGCTGGTGTGCTGGCATTTTTCACTACGATCCATTCCACCTACAATAATTTCAAATTCTAATTAAAATCTTTCATTTGATGTAAATATTTTTTATAACAATTTAATATCAACATTTAAAAAATGATCAATCATTCCGTATATATTACCAAACGAAAAAAGATATTTCGGAATAGATACTTACTGGTTAATGGTGTATGAACTTCAACCTTTATGTTAGCCGTGGCAGTGACCTTAGTTGTGATGTGAGAAGTTGATGGCACAGGCGACGTTCGACTAGACCCACTTGTATCTGATCCGCTACAATTCTGTTAGTCAAACAAAAGCATAACACACTTGTTAAGCATGCTATCGAGAGAAAGATCATCGATATTTCTATCAATGGAAGTAGAAGAGATTGTTTAGCATTCTATATTATAGAAAAATTGTGTTAAGGAATTTTCAATGGGATTTAAACATTCATATTATCTATGCAAAGCGAAAAATATTCAAGTTAAAGTTTAACTTAATAAATATTTACAATCAAAAATATCAAAGTTATAATTCAATGGTCAATTTATTTCCAAGTAACATACCTGATTACCACAAGTTGACATCGTCTCGACCTTTAATTCAGGCTGGACGATAATACACGATTCTTGTGTACTATGCCAGGAATTAGGTTCCTCGGTGATGGTAGTCAGCGATGGTTCTGCATGCAGTCTCGCGTTATCAATTTTATGAGATCTTCTAGGTGGCGGTGGTGGTTTCGATCTTCTAATGATCGGAGAAGCCGGAGGTGTTGGAGTGGATATTCGATCAGGATGATCATTCGGTATAATCTCAGGTGATGGACCGATCAGGGACAATAATATTGGAAAAAAGAAAAGCCCATTGACAAGGCCGATTCCAATTAAAGATAGAAGTACGAGAAAGAAATATCGAACAATGAATTCAAAGTCTGAAAAAGCTAACATGACGACTGCCAATAACGTTGTGAAGGCTCCATGAACAACAGGGGCATACATGTGTTCTAAAGCCAAACGTACTCTCCTATCTCTACTGCCAACACTGGTAACAAAACTCTGAAATAATAATGACAATAATATAACTATAAATCTAATTATATTTAAATATTTATATATATTATTCGTATAAATATATTTACCAAACAAATGTGTACGGTAAAGTGTACGGCTATTCCCACACTGACAACGAGAAGGACGGCAGGAACGGCACTTAATTTAATTTCACAAAGTCCCATAAGTCCAAGGAGTTGTAAAACGACGCCAGCAAGAGCAGTTCCGACTAAAAGCGCAGCCCAAAGATTTAAAAGGAGTATACCGATAACGACAATACTGGCCCCAAGTGCTGCAAGTAATGCTACACCCAAACAACTTCTTAAATCCATATATTGTTCCCAGAATAAGAAAGGTATTCCCGATGGAAAATTTGGTAGTCCACGTTCTTCGAATTTCCTACACAATTTCCTTACGCTTCCTATCAATTCCGTGATCTCCTGAGTATCGGTAAGTTTGTGAAGATAAAAGGGCATCTGCGCGTAAGTCAGAGGCATACTCTTCGGTATTTTTAATTCGTGATCATTGGTATAGATCCATTGTCTTGGTTCAGGCCTAAGATTTGCTTGGGAAGCACCGTAAACCAGAGCGTCATTTGAAGCCCAGGCACTTAAATAATTATAAAAAGCACGTGGATGAATGATTCCCTCAGAATCGACGAGTCTTACTTGCGTGATTAATGTCTTATCAATCGGATTATCTACATGGCCCGTTTGTACGAGCAACTTGTACGCCAAAATCGCCTCATCACTCGCATTTTTGTACCATCTTTCTTGGGTAATACAACCATTTTTATAATCCTTGTCGAAGGCATTCTGCAATCCCTTCAGCCAATCTCTAAAGAGACTAAGCCAGAATTCCGGTAAACCTCCATTGTCGTTCTTAATAACATTCTTTATTCTCATAAAAGCATCGTGATACTCGTATAAAAGTTTTTGGTTATTCGGATACTCGAAATCTCGTCCAGTGACAGCGTACATATTGTAAAATCCAAAATGTTTCGCCTGGGCGGCGAGAAAGGCATGCTCGTTCGAATTTTGAGGAACCAAATCTGTAAGTTCTAAGCCGTCGCTAACTCTCATCGCTTGCCAAACACTACCAGCGAGTACGGTAGCTAATATAAACATGCCGAAAACCTTTGTCGTTGGTTTCATTACGAACGGGGCATAAGTCCTAGCCGCGAATTTCGTCAAAGAGAAACTAAGACAGTCGTCCTGATTGCATCCGGTTAAGGATTCCTCCTCGGTACACTGTTTGTCAAAATCAGCATCTATGATGTTACCGCCGACCCAGGACTCGCTCTGAGCATTTTGAGACGTCAAAATTTGCGTACAAGTTTCCCGTCTTTCCGGTGGTATAGCTCTCGCTACGGTTTGTTTAGCCGTGCCGTTACTTCTCCTGCCAGAATATTTATTCCTTCCATTTTTCGCTGGCAAACAGCAACACAATATATCGGATCTACCGGATCTACGTCTTCTTAGATCTAAACTGACCATAGCGGGAAATACGAGTAACATTGCAGCAAGATTGAAAAGAAGAAGAATGCCAGCTTGAAGGCAAAATACTCGAAGAGCGGGGATTGGTATCAAGGCCGCAGCAAAGAAGGCCGAGACGTTGCTCAAGCCGGTCAAGAGAACAGAGAGACCCGTTCTCTTGAGAACGACCCCGGTCTGTTCTCCGCTCGGTACCTCATTCACCGACAACTCTGCATACGTGTGCGTCAATAGGAACATATCGTGAACTCCAAGACCTAACGCTAGAAACGGGACTATTTGCGTTGTTGCGGCATTGAAGGGAATGCCAAGTAGGGCACAAAATCCTAAACCAGCAGCGACCGTTGCACCGACCAACATCACACCGGCTATTCCAACGCCAGATTGAGAACGTACTGGATCCTTCCAACGTAAAAGTGCAATACCCGCGTAAAACAGCTATAACAAAATACACGAGTAAAATTTGTAATTGTATCGATTATGTTTTTGTCCTGCATACCTAAAAATGATGATAATAATTATTGAACAACTTACCATCAAAGCGCATCCAATTCCTATTTTCATAACTGACACCTCGCTATACTTTCCAAGTATATCGTTCATGGTTGTAGTACTGAAGGCATAGAGATTGTACGACGACGTACTATTTACTTCCAAATGTTTCTTCACCTTATTGCTAAACTCTCTTTGCCATGTTTCAAGGACCTGAGAAGCCTTTTCCTGCGACCAATCTATATGATGTACTTTGTAGGTATTAGCTAAAAAATCATAGAGTTCTCGTTCGCCCATCAATTGAACGACTGTTTGCAAGGCTGCCGCTCGAGTTAAATGACCAGTCTTGTTGTGTTTTGCACCACCGACGACCAATTCCTCGGGCCAATGCATATACTTCGCCGCAAATCCATAACAACCGCCGGTTAGTTCGGCTCCTATGTCCGGTTCCTGAAACGAAACGTGTCTTGCATTTAAAATATCAACGAATATCTAGGATACCGAGACATAGCGAGAAATGCGACCGGATATTACCGCGTCGGCATACCAAACAAGGATGGCTCACAAAAAGATCGTTCGGCAGTGCCTAATAAAGGGATACTCAACACGTAAGGTATTAGCGCGAGTACGTACAAGGGGCGGACTTGGTTGCCCTTTAGAACGTCCCTTGCCCTACAGCTATGCAACGCCAAAGAACATTTTGATCTAACGATCCTTTCGTCATTTTTTCGCCGCCATTGACCATTAAGTGTAATTACCTTAAGTACAGATGTGCTTATATTGTATGAAAATAGAAATAGAGATGAGAGAAAGAGAAAGAGAGGGAGAGAGAGAAAGAGAGATAAAACAAAGTAAATAAAAAGGAAAGTAAGTATTTTACTACACTTCTATATTCCGTTCCTTCTTCAGATTGGACGATATAATAAATCTGGTCTTTCGATTATGCGAAATTAATTGACCGCGTTCCGTATCTTTTCCCCATCCTCCCTCTTTCTTTTTTATCTTGCCCTTTCTCTTTTTTGAATCTTCTCGTAGAAGACGAGCATCGCAAGAAGGGAACCACCACTATGAAAGTTTCTCCATTGATTTCTCTGTTGCTGCCCTCTCCCTCTTCCTCTTACTCTTTATTTTCTACACTTCATTTTCTCTCTTCGGCTTTCTCGTGGCCACTTTTAGATGGCATACGGTGGTAATTACGATGAAAAAGGGCTCATATGCAACGAACGAGAGAAGAAGGATGAAAATTGAAGTAGGTGAGGGAGATACATTATAATCCTGTGCCATCATAGCGATGCCTTACTTCGTTTTATCGAACGTGAGAAAAATGAGAATCTTGGTAAAATATCTTTTTAATTATAAAAAAAAAAAAAAAAAAAAAAAAAAAAAAAAAAAATAAATAAATAAATAAATAAAAAGAATATTAAAAAAGAAAAGACAAAAAAGAAAAAGAAAAAGAAAAAAGAGAAAGAATCAAGGATATATATATATATATATTTATATATATATATATATATAACTCAATCGTTGTCCACTTTCTAGCACAAAAGAATTTGAATGTGATGGCTATAATGACTTGACTATAATGTCATTAGAATTCTCTCTCTCTCTTTTTCTCACGCACACATACATATACATACACATTACACATACATGCTCACGCGCGCATATATCATCAACACGTGCAAATATAGTGAAGCAACCACGAGTAGTTTAATGATAGCGAAACGATCGGGTATGTAACGTCCCTCAAACGACCACCAGGGTAGCGCAATAATGACGCACATCTCTCGATTTTATTATTTTAATGCTCGTAGAGGCGCTACCCACACGACTCGCATACTCATCGCTGATTTAACATGGAAATCGTTTCATTCACGGCGTGCACCCGTGCCTTCTTCCCGGCGCATTCGCACGTACGATATATGTACGTATAATATGTATGTATCTATCTACGTATGTATGTATATATATATATATATATATATATATGTATGTATATACGAGACCCAATGATTCTTTGAAAACGATTAATAAGTTTATGGGGCGATATAATCTATTTTCTTTTTTGTCTTTTATTTAAAACCCATACCGAATTGATACGTTTGATCAAGCAAATGCGTTCCATTTCATTTATTTAAAAAAAAAAAAAAAAAAAAAAAAAAAAAAAAAAAAGTTTATTCTTATTACTCTTACGATTTAATATAAATAGAATTATTAGATTATTTTTAGAAAGAGAGACAGAGAGAAAGAAAGAAAGAAAGGGGGAAAAAGAGAGAGAGAGAGAGAGAAAAGGAAAAAACTTTCTCAGAAGAATTTATCTATAAAAAGATTTTCTATTTCGTTCGCACCGTACGAACCTCATATATCTGTGGACGTTCAATTAAATATTCATTATTCCTTTTCTCTCTCTCCTTACCCTTTTATAGTCTACACCATCAAGATGGTCCGCATAAGATACCCGCACGATATCAAAGAGAGTCGGAACGCTTCTTCCTCTTGTACTTTCAACGCGCACGCAAACGATTGCCACTGTAGTTGAATTTTAAACGATCGGGAAACATTAGTTGTTCCTAACGTCAAATCTCACGTACATACATGTACGAGTTCCTACGAAGATTTTTAAAATCTTTTATAACACGCCTTATTCCTTCAAGTGACCCAATTTTCTTTCTCTGGTAGTAACATTTGTTTTCTTTTTCCCTTCTTTTGATTTATACAAAGAAATTTACAATTTCAAAAAATTCATCGATTTTCACGAGATTTTTGATAAAAAGGATTATTGTTGTTCTTTTCTTTGTTCTTTTTTCTTTCCTTTTTTTTTTTTTTTTTTTTTTAGCAAGATTACGTAAGAACCATGAAATTGTCAATGACGTTGTAGAAGATTAGCAAAAGTAAAAAAAAGAAAAAGAAAAAAAAAAAAAAGAAAAATATCTAAGTCCAATCGGACATAGGTAGAATCGTTTTTTTTTTACCTGCTGCGACTTCTTGTTGGGTGCGGTTTCCGGACACTCAGGATCCGTTGGATCGAGGCACGGCTTGCTCTGGTAGGCATTCGTTATCCCAGCTCTCTTCATGTAGTCCTCAAGCGTTTTGAAGGGAAACATGAATTGCAATTTTTTCATCTCGTCCAACATACCGGATGGATTGAGATTGGTCCATTGGACGGGCTTGTTCGTTTTTGCACCACTGTCATCGATCAAAACGAATAATATTTCAACAGTATTATAAATTCGAAGGATTATTATCAATAATAAAAATTACTTACGGTATGTGAACGGGATGTTCGGGGCCTAAAAGTTTGCTTCCTTCCCAAAAGCAATCCAAAGGTGTTATGATAGCACATGGTATAATACTATCGAAGATCTGAAAGCAAAGAATCATTGGATATTGAATATTTCTACTTTCTCTTTCTCTCTCTCTTTCTTTAAAAAAAAAAATAAATAAATAAATAAATAAAAAAGAATTGTAACGATATATAATAAATGAACAGATTTAGTGATCGGCAAGAAAGAAAAAAATACTTTTACTAGATCGTAGAAATGGAATGTTCGTCGTCGTATTACATTTCCAAGTAGAGTAAAGGGTATTAGGATGGGACCACCTGCGGGTTCTTGGAAACTCTAATAGGACGACGGTTCTGTATACTAAAGGTCGTTTTCTTCGTACCATTCGAGATCATTGAGGGATCGAGTTAGAATTATCCTCGAAATGATTTACCGGAGTTAGAGACTATGAAAGGGTTATAATCAAATGTAAGATCTTCTGTGTATCTAAACACATACAAAGAGATCTTCGGTGGTAGAGGATTACGTAATAATATTGATCATTGAAAGTGAAGAGGATGAGGATGAGGATGAGGACGAGGACGAGGACGAGGACGAGGACGAGGATGAAGACGAGGAGGAGGAGGCGGAAGAGGAGAAGGAGGAAGAGGAAAAGGAGAAGGCTTTATTGAGTAGAGTTAACGGAAAATAAGAAGAGCCAGCCGGCTTAGACTTGGCGTGAATGAGTGTATAAGTGTGCGTGTATGTAATACGTACTGATACGTACTCAGGATATGAGAGAGAGAGAGAGAGAGAGAGAGGACTCGTGCTTACGCGTACACATTTATCGTGGTTGTCATTTGAATTACCTGGTCGATGTAGTGCATGTCGAAGTTGGGTATGCTCGGCGCGTAACACATGTCTTTCAGTCTCCACGTGCTGCAAGCGACACGGAACACATGCATTCATGAATACAAGTTTGCATACTCTTAAAAGGCCACGTTCGTGCCGATAAGCGGTAAAATAAAAAAAAAAAAAAGAAAAAAGAAAAAAAAGAAAATAAAAATGGTTCACGGAAAAAGAGAGCCAAGGAGAGTCCGTAATGGAGAAAGGGAAGGAACGAACGAACGAATGAACGAACGTACAAATCAGTCATTCGTCCTATGCCTTTATACTGTTTCTCCAACTTCGAAGCTCGTTGTCCGTAAGTCGCTTACTGGCACGCACGTGACGTTTCTTCCCGTAAAATTTGTCCATATTGATACACGAGACAGTTATATATATATATATATATGTGTATAACAAACAAAATTCTACAATGATATTAATCTTATTACATTTATTACTAGTAGTAAAGATAATTCCCTTCGTTTTAATTAATAAAAAATAAAAACAGAATATATATCGTTAGACACGTACGAGTCTAAAAAAAATACTGCAGATATGTGTAATAGAGAACGTACAAAAAAAAAAAAAAAAAAAAAAAAAATAGAGAAAAGGAATAAAAAAAAAGAAAGAAAAAAGCGACTCACATATCGAAGAGATGTACGGTGGCCTGAGTAGCTGCCTTGAGAATTGCCAAATGTTCTTTCAACGCGGCAGGATGTAGGATGTTTGCCCCGGGATGTCTTGGGGTTTGGATAACGAGCTGGTGCGTCGATGGTGCGGCCTCCCCGAGTGCTTCCGACGCGTACTTTAATTCTTTTTGTAATCTTCCACCTTCTGAAAGTATAAAACCGAACGACCTTTACTTTAGTAATACACATTTGGAAAAATACATTTTATATGCTATAATTAATGAAACGACATATATATATATATATATATATATATATATATTTATGTGACAAATAAATATATATAATACTTACTTATTACTTACATATTTAAATTCATTAATATAATAACATCTTGTTAATGAACGAAAAATATTGAGAAAAATAAATAATTATTAATTATTAATTACTAATTATTAATTATTAATTATTCCACACGTCTATATATATATATATATATATATATATATATATATATATATTTCGTTGTTAAAAAAAAAAAGAGAAAAAGAAAGAAAATATAAATTGCAGAACGATCAACGTCATTTCGTTTCGCGCCTCCCCCTTCTCTTTTAATCTCGAAACAACACATCATCCAAGCTTGAACTTCTCAAAGTGAACCCTGCTGGATGTACGTACGTATGTATATGCATCGCGCGCGAAAGACGATTCCTCGAAGAGAAACACATTGGGACAGACACAGAGTGTCGTAACGCACGTTCCTTTGACTTTACGAATATATATATATATATATATATATATATATATATATATATACCAAGAAAAATTCCTCCCCGTTGGCAGAGTACCAATAAAAGCTTTCCTCGAAACAGTCGTAGAAATAACGACAGGGTGTTGTTAAAAATGAAAGAGAGAAAGGGAGAGAGAAAGAGAAAGAGGGAGAATAATAAAATGACAAAACTTTCGAAAAATGTTCTATTTCGAATAATCCCACCTTTTACGTAGAGATAAATATATATGTATCTATTTATATATGTACGTATGTAATGTATATATGTAATGTGACATTATAGGGAGCCACCCTCGATCGATCGCAAACGACGATTAGTAATTAGTCGGTAACTCCCTCCGGAATTACGAGCCACCGTCGTAAATCATCGTAAATAGATTTAATAACGTCTTTACGATGGGGATACCAAGTTAACGATCACGGAGATATTGAAATAGGCCGTGCCGCTTTTAAAAGCTAATCACCAATCAAGCGAGCTCGATCAACTGACCATCCCTCGATCGTGCCGTTGTGGTAGTGGTAGTAGTAGTTGTAATACTAGTTGCAGTAGTAGTAATAGCAATAGTAGTAATAATAGTAGTAGTAGTGATAGTACAGTTGTAGTAGTAGTAAATATACGATGATCGTATCTGAGAGATAAATATAATTGCAAGATCGGGAAAGATCTTTAAGTATCCTTGAAGTTATCCGTTGATAACAGTATGTGTATACAGTGTAACGACGTACAGAAGTTGATACTAATTAAAAAAAAGAAAAAAACAAATAAATAAATAAATAAATAAATAGAAGAAAAAAATGAAAGATAACAAAAATAATAAAAATTTAAAAAAAGCAAGAAGAAGGAAAAAAGGAGAAGGAAAAAATAGAAATAAATAAACAAAGAAGAAGAAGAAGAAAAGAGAAAAGAAAAAGAAAAGAAAAGAAAAGAAAAGAAAAGAAAAGAAATGTGCGTTGAAACGTTTGTCAACGTAAATCTCGTCATTGAGCGGAATAAAAGAAAATCGAATACGATCGAGGAGATCTCGAATCGCACGCGTAAGTACACGAGACGAATTTATTCCACAGTAAATAAAATTCCGTTAGCCGGAGAACCGCATCGTAGTAGATACGTACGGATGAAATCGTGTTTCCAGTCTGGCTACTGCAAAATAAAGAACCAAAGCTCATCGAAAAGTCTTTTCTCTCTCTCTCTCTCTCTCTCTCCCTCTCTCTCTCTCTTCCTCTTGCTCACTCACTTTGACCAGAAGACCGATCGATGGAGTGAAAGATGAAAAGAAAAGAGAGATGAAGTGAGTTAAAGGGAGAAAGAGTAGAGAGACTGGATAAGGTAGAGAAGGGAATACGAAGAAGAGGAGAAGGGGAGGAGGAGGAGGAGGAAGAGGTGGAGGTGGAGATGGAGAAGGAGGAGGCAATTGGAAGATACGCATATAAGACCGAAAGTAATGGACGAAGGGCACGAGGATGACGGCTGACGCGGACTACGTTGAGACCCCACCTAGTCAGATTTCACCGTCAAAAATGCCGACGGCGTATTTGCTCGTTCCGCCACGGCGCAGCCTCCGTGGACCACCCGTGTTGCTCGCTTCTCAGTGACTCTCAACTTGGTCCTTCGTAAATTTCCAATTCAAAAAAATAATGATCACTTTCGAAGGAAAAAAAGAAAAAGTAAAAAGAAAGAAGCACAATGTCATGCGTAATACATTTACTTTTACTTCGTCATTATTATTATTATTATTATTATTATTATTATTTTATTATTATTATTATTATTATTGTTATTGGTATTGTTATTATTTTTATTAAATTTTATTTAGTAGAGTGTATATGTATATATATGTATGTATACACAGACATATTTAACAAATTTGAAATTAATCAGTGTCATCGATAATAATTTTTTATCTTTATACAATAATTTCCTTTTTATTTTATTTTCTTTTCTCTTGGAAAAAATATCTTTACAATTAACCACCTTAATAATTAAGACATTTCTACGTTTTACGAAAAATTAAAAAATGACAGGGTATGTATGTGTATGTGTGTGTGTGAGAGAGAGAGAGAGAGAGAGAGATAGTCGAAGGGAAAGTTCGCAAACGCCGTCGGAGGGTTGGAGGGAGATAGGAAGAAGAAGGCAGTGATTTATCGACATGGCCTCTCTGTAATTATTTCCCCGTCCTCGTGTTCCAAAAAGAGGGATGATGCTGCTGGAAGAACGGCAGCAATACATACCCTCAAACTAAACCCGTCCTTCCGGTAATCGACGAAAAGGAAAAGATGAAGAATTTTTTGCTACATTTGAAAAGAAAAAGGAAAAAAGAAATAAAAAATGAGAAAGAGAAAAAAATCTTTTCTCTCTCTCTCAATCTCTCTCTCTCTCTCTCTCTCTCTCTCTAAAAAAATTTTTCTCCATCTTTTGATTGCGAAATATTTTCTCTACGAATAATTATTATTAATTTAAATTATCAACGAGACAAAGAGAAAAAAAAAATATATATATATATATATAATTAAGTTACGAGGAATAGAAATTTTGAAGTTGAATTTTGTTTCCATAATGACGAAGGAAAAAAAAGAGGAGGAGGGGAGGAGAAGGGAAGGAAGGGGAGGAGGGAAAGAAACTCGTGCGTTCCCGTACCGAGAAAGAACAACCGATATTTAACGATAATTTGATGGTGGCCGCGAGGCGAGGCTTGAATCAACAGAGGAAGGGCTACAGGAAGATAGAAGAGGGAAAGAGTCGAAAGAAAAGAATGGAATAAGGAACACACGCGTGCTCGGTGAGAAGAAAGAATCGAAGAAAGGGAGGAGGAAAAGAAGAAGAAGAAAAAGAAAAAAGGAAAAGAAGAAGAAAAAAAGAGAAGAAGAAGAAGAAGTAGTAGAAGAAGAAGAAGAAGAAGAAGAAGAAGAAGGGAAGTGGGGAAGGGAAGAAAAAAAGAGGAGGGAAGCAGGTGCACGCATCGGAGAGATCGACTCGATCTTCATCAAAGATCTTCCAACCCCTTTTTCGTTGTCTCTCTCTCTCTCTCTCTCTCTCTCTCTCTCTTTCTCTTTCTCTCTCTTTTACTCTCTTTATTTTCTTTCTTTTCGAATCTTCGTGGAGAAGCGAACGGTAGCGAACGGTGACGGGGTGGAGCGAAACTCCTTAAATTTCAAACGAGAAGCCACTTAAGACGGACAAGTCGAGACACGACCGGTCGAATCGTTAAAGAGATACTTCTGTCCAATTACCGGTTACACGTTAATTTTGCGATATTACGAGACGAAAGGCGGATCGGTTGCCGGACACCAAAACGTTTTCCACCAAAGGGAATCACCCTCGAAATCATTGCTTGTCATGGAGAGGCATTAAAGTCTCCCGCTCGTCTTATATGGCTCCTTTTCTTTACTTTACTTTATTTTGATTTTCTTTTCTTTTCTTTTCTTTTCGACAATGTATCTTTCCATCTTTCTTTCTTTCTTTTTTTTTTTTTTATTTCTCATTGATAGAATCTACCAGATTACGTAGAATGAGTAAGAAGTACTTACATGATTTTTTTTTAAATTGCATATATATATATATATATATATATATATATATAAATGGGTATTATATTAGATCAATAACAATTGTCTTAACCATTGATTTTTAATTGACTATTATCGAAGAATTAAGATTGTCAAGTCGATGTTATCAATGTTAAACGAAGATACCGGATAAGAGAGATTATAAATAAGCAAAGACGTTTTTTCTTTTGTTCTTTTTTTGTTTTTTGTTTTTTTAAGAAAATCGATCGACAAGTATTTTGTCGGATTTATAAAGATTTTGAAATTTTATATTGGCTTTCAAATCGGCCGACCGTATAAGAAAGTATGGGAAGCAAAAACCAAGGTGTCGACAGCTTTATGGTGTGTGAAAATGCCTATAAAGACGTACGACCACGTGGCTCTTTAGAAGAGCCCCCGCCGTCTGTCTCCCCTAGTCATTCTCGTTAAAGGTGCTCCAAAGAGTTTCCCATATGACGCAACTACTCATCGACCGTACTACCATAATGCCGTCGCGTGACCCTTCTCGCTCTCGTTCCCTCACTTCTACTTCCTCTTGCAACCTCCTTCTCCTCCTCCTCCACCACCACCACTTTCTTATCCCTGTCAAGAAAGTTATTTTTGAGACGTATTCCTCACCTACCACCTCCACTCAGCCGAATGTCCTGTAATTTGAAACCTCGACAGAACCATCCAGAAATTCTTTCAATCTAAACGACTCCCGAGAAACCAGGAAATTTTGTCATCAACATATTTTATGAGACCTTTCTCTCCCTCTTTCCCTCTCTCTCTCTCTCTCTCTCCCTCTGTCTGTCTGTTTATTCTTCGAAAGATTACAAGTTAATAGATTTTAATTAGATTAGTAAATTATTTTAAACAGATATTCGATTTAAATGGAGGAAAAAAGAAAAACACATTTCAGACAGATTTTCAGACGAAAATGATAAAACAAGAACGACAATTGTTTTTTAAATAAAAAAGGACAAGGCCATAATCGATATAGCATATAGTTGATTAATAAATAATGAGAGAAAATTTCTTTCACAAAAGAAAATATAACATATCGTTGTCGAAGAAAGAGAACCCCTGCGGTAACTACGTAGACCGTTTTCCAGGTGCCTCGTATTCCGCCGGCGTTACCTTGCGCGCGTACCTCACGCTAATTGCCAATTAAACGTCGTGAAGGTAGGCATGTGTTTCCGCGCAACAGGTCGAATCTTATGTTTCTGAACTTTTACCATCACCCGTTGCCGCTCCCACCCACCCCATTCCACCCCACCCTACCCCTTACCTATCAATAGCACCCGTGCACCATCGTGGCAACCTCTCACTCTTCTCGATAACACGGATAGATATTAATGAAGTATAGATAGAGGAATGGATTGAGATAAAAAGTCGACCAGTAGAATGGAAAATCGAAGCATGTGAAGGAACGTTAAAAAAATTTTGGGGTTGATGCCCGTCGTTCACGAAGGTGAACAGTGACGCTGAGAGAAGATGAGGAGGACACGTAGAAGGGCCCAGAAAAGGGCTGTTGGGTCCTTCGGCTCACTACTACTACGAGCTCTATAAGACTACTCTCGTGGCTCTCCCTTCCTCACTGAACGCCCGACCAAGTTTTCGGAGAGCAAGAACACGTGGAAGATACCGGAGTACGAAAGAGATAAAGACAGAGAGAAAGAGAGAGGGAGGGAGAGAGAGATGGGGTTAGGGGATGGGATGGGATAGGGTGGGGGATTCGAAGTAGGCTTAGCTCTCTCGGAGGCTCACGGAGAAGCTCTGAGACTTGGCTCAGTCGCTGAGGCACGCAGGCCCACCGCTGGTTGGCTGGTTGGGATGGCTTGGCGCACACAGAGAGCACATCGGGCCACCCACCGCGACCATTCACCGGAACCGAGCCCCGTCCAATCTAAGTGGCTCTCATCCGTGTATAGCATATTCTATCGTCTAAGCATTCTCAAGGAGACCTAGTTTCTCAGTACACATGACGCATTCATAATCCCATTCCTAACAGTATTATTCGCGATGTTCGTGAAAAAGATCATCTTGAAGTGATTAAAAAATTGTTAAAAAAGAAAAAAAAAAAAAAAAAGAAAGAAATAAAGAAATCAAAAGAACCGATAATAATGTCACAACCCTTGGAAATAAATCTTGGAATAACTTTCGAATATTTGTTACAATTTGAAAATTCGTGAAATGTAAAAGAATTTAATATCTATCGTATAAAGTCACGAACGGATAGATAGATTTTATCGCTGTTATAGATAAAATTTATACGGTTTAATTATTTGTACAGTGGAATCCTTTTTAATGGGAGCAACACGTTGAAGGATCTACGTACACACATATACACAAATAATACACAGATAACACACGTACACAATTTCAATATGGTTAAAATAGATGTTAAGATGTTGGCGTACGTGGGAGCGATATAACAACTGTAGTGGATAAAGGGAAGATGAGATCCTCTGTTTATGCAGCCGTCCGTCCGTCGGTCCGTCCGACGGTCGGAACGACC